TAAAATATATATATTCCCTTTTTTTAAATTAACATTGCTAACATTATTGGTGTCTTCACTGGATGTATTTGACTGCTGTGGACTTGAGTGGGGAAGAGAGTGTCCCCACCCAGATCCCGACAGGGAAGAGGACGGGAGAGAGACTGGCATGATCTTTTGAATCCCTCTTTGGGAGGCCAGGGCCCCCTTCCCTGCCTGGAAACATGCAGGGCCAGGGCATGGGGGCAAATTAGGCCCACTTTTGGGAACACTGACAAACCCAGCCCTGGTCCAAGCCGCTACCCTGAGTCAAATGGACAGAAAGACAGATGACAGGTACAGGGATGAGGATGCTGGCTTCTGACCAGGAGTTGGGGGAACCTCAAGACGTTGCTGTGCTTTGGGGATCTCCTCTACACCTTGCACGGGCATCTTGCCCTCAAGGCCACTGCCTGGAAGATTCAGGAGCCTTCACGTGGGCGGCCTTCACCTACTCTCATCTCTCACCTGCATCCGAGATGCCCAGGAGGCCACTGACAGATGTCTCGACAAAGAGAAGAGAGACGTTGGTGGGAGGAGGGGCAGCCCTGTGTGAGCCCCTCTTCCTAGGAGCCCACCCTCATCCTCAGAGGGAAAGGCCTTGGCCTCCTGTCTCGGGCGTCTCCCTGCTCCCCATCCCGGGGTGCAGCCTAGGAGGGCCTGTTGTCCTCAGACCATTAAAACCACTAGTTCTGTCCCCCCCGGCAGTCCTGGCTGAGTGTGTGAGTGGTCGACCCTCCTCGGCCTCCTGACCCGTCCCTTCCCGCGGCACAGAGAGAGACAGGACAGGATCCACGAGCCCATCATGGAGGCAGAGAAAACAGAAAGCATTTTATATATGGTACTTATTTAATATCCCTTTTTAATTAGAAATTAAAACAGTTAATTTAATTAAAGAGTAGGGTTTTTTTCAGTATTCTTGGTTAATATTTAATTTCAACTATTTATGAGATGTATTTCTCTCTTGCTCTCTTTTGCTCTCTCTTATTTGTACTGGTTTTTGTGTATGAAATTCATGTTTCCAATCTCTCTCTCCCTGATCGGCGACAGTCACTTCTAGCATGTCCTGAACAGGTATTTAATTTTGCTAACACTCAGCTCTGCCCTTCTCATTTCCCCGGCTCCCCACCACACATTCCTTTGAAATAGGGTTTCAATATACATCTACATACTATATATATATTTGGCTACTTTGTATATATATACATATATATATATATATGTTTATGTATATATGTGATTCTGATAAAATAGACATCGCTATTCTGTTTTTTATATGTAAAAACAACAAAAATAGAGAATTCTACATACTAAATCTCTCTCCTTTTTTAATTTTAATATTTGTATCATTTATTTATTGGTGCTACTGTTTGTCCGTAATAATTGTGGGGAAAAAGATATTAACATCTCGTCTTTGTCTCTAGTGCAGTTTTTCGAGATATTCCGTAGTACATATTTATTTTTAAACAACAACAAGAAATACAGATATATCTTAAAAAAAAGCGTTTTGTATTAAAGATTTTAATTCTGATCTCAAATCTCCTCCTGTTTCTCCTTCTCATTGAATCCTTGTTCCAACCTTCCTCCCGCCCTCTTTCACTCCTCCCTTGGGGAATCTGGCATTTGTCTTTGGCCTGGGAGAGGGGTCCCAGGTATTTAGGATATGGGGTGACCCACCTCATTGTGCTGGGGTTAGTCTTTTCCATTTCCGGCTGGGCTGGACCTGGTAGGAACCTGTCTATCTCCTGCCTTAATATAGAAGGGAGGCTCTGGATATGGGTGGTGAGAGGGGACAGCTCCTTAAAAGGGAGCCGTGGGCCTTTGAATAAAACTACCTTCAGGAACCACATGATCCAGGCCCCTGTCCAGTGGTCAAGGAATTTGCTGCCCATGTCTCTGAGCTTGCTCCCCAGGGGACAGAAGAGGGCTGGGTTTGGCTGTGGGGCCATGTAGGTTGCAACAGGCTTGGGAATGGGAAGGGTGTGCTGGTGGGGGGCTGTGACCCCAGGGCTAACTTAGTTTTACATAGTGAGTCTTGGGGTTCCTTGAACTGAAAGAGATCCACAGCTCTGACCTGCCCACCTTACTGCATAATCCCTCCTCTCCTGTCCTGGTCCTGGGTGAGATGGAAGCTGTGTCTGACATTTATGAACAGTGTTTCCAAGTATACTTCCTCCAATCGTTTATTCCTTCAAGCCATGCTTATTGGGCCAGGCTTTGTGCTAGGCTCAGAAGCTGTTATGAATAAGACACAGTTCCACCCTTCAAGGGTCTGGTGGGGTGAGTGGGTGGGGAGACACAGAACTATGCATCCATGACAGGTGGTAAAATGGAAAAAATACGTAACATAAGATGGGGGCATCCGATCCAGCTGGGGGTGGGGGTTGTGTTGGGGGTGGTGGAGTCTGGGGTCTTCTCAAGGCATAACTTCTAAGCTGCCCCATAAAGGATGGGTAGGAGAAGAGAAGCAGTTCATGGAGGGGCAGGTGCAAGGGTTGAGGAAGGCATCCCAGGCAGAAGGGATAGTGTGAGTGAAGGCGTGGAAGTGGAACTCAGATGAGGAATGGGTGAGGGGGTTGAGGCTGGAGAGATAGGCAGAGATTAGCTCACCAGGAGCCTGCAATAGGTGCCAAGAGCCTAGGCCCTGTCAGAGATGAGCAGCAGCTGAGGGGTTTAAGTAGGGAGTGCTGCAGTCAGCTATGCTTTTCAAAGGATGCAGGCAGGAGGCAGGGCGGCCAGGTAGGAGGCTGTTGCTGTCCTCCAGGGAGATGTCTAGAGGGGCTGGGAAGAAGGGCTCTTTGGCGACTTCAGCAGCTGATTAGGGAGGGCGTTCTCTGCCTCTCCTGGCGCGTGCACAGACTTTGGTCTACACTCTGGGGAAGACAGGAGGCAAGCCCCTGCCCTCATGGAGCTTTGCTCTAACAAGTGCTCATTTTGCAATCACTTAGTGCTGGCTCTTAACATCTGTTAACTCATCAAATCCGCACACCAACTCTGAGGCAGATGCCCTTGTCGTCCGCACCTGTATATTTACAGGAGCCTCCAAACTGGCCTTCTGGAGTCTCCTTTCACCTCTCTGGTCGATTCTCGCACGACAGCCAGAGTGAGCCTGTTAAAACACAAGCCAACTCATGTCATCTCTTGGCTCGATACCCTCCAAAGACTCTGTTTTACTCAGAGTAAAAGCCAAAGTCTGTACAATGGCCTTAAAAGGTCCCGCACCATCTGGGCTGCTTCTACCTCTCTGACCTCAATGGCTTCCAATGCCCCTTGGTCACTCGGCTTTAGCCACACTGGCCTCTCTGCTCCTCAGATGCACTGGGCATGCCCCTCCCTCAGGGCCTTTGCACTGGCTGTTCCCTCTCCCTGGAACACCCTTTCCCCCAGACATGCACATGTGGCTCCCTCACCTGCAAATCTTGATCAAATATCACCTTTCCCAGTGAGGTCTACCAATTGATGTCCCTCACTCTGAACTCAGGATCTTTCTTTTCACGGTCCATTCTTTTTTTCCCATAGCACATGCCAATCTTCTAAATATTCTCCAACAGTGATGTTCAACAGAAATAAACTATGAGCCACATATGAAATTTAAAATTTTCCAGGAGCCACATTTGAAAAAGTAGAAACAGATGAAATTAATTAAAACTATTTTAGTAATATATTTTATTTAACTGCAACACATCTAAAATATCAGTTGAATGTGTAATCAATATAAAAATTATTAATAAGTGATTTTACATTCCTAGTGTTTGATTCTGGCATGTGTTTTGTACTTATCACACATCTCAGTTGGGAGTGGCTGCATTTCAAGTGCTCAATAGCCACATGTGGCTAGTGGCTTCTGTATTGGACAGTGCAGTTCTAAAATTTACTCTCCCTTTTGTCTCCATCCACCAGAATGCAAGCTCCATGAAACCAAAAACCAAACCCACTGCTGTCGAGTTGAATCCGACTCGTAGCGACCCTATAGGACAGAGTAGAAGTGCCTCATAAAGAGTTTCCAAGGCTGTGATCTTTACGGAAGCAGACTGCCACGTCTTTCTCCTGCGGAGCCACTGGTGGGTTCGAATTGCCGACCTTTTGGTTAGCAGCCTACAGCTGTAACCGCTGTGCCACCAAGGCTTCTCAAGCTCCATGAGGGCAGGGGTTTTTGTTTGTTTGGTTTGTTGTCGTATCTCTAGCTCTTAGAGCCTGGAACATAGTAGTTGCTCAATAAACATTTGTTAAATGACTGACGTTGAAACTGAGGCCTGGAGACAGAAGGTTTTATACCAAGACCACAGAGGTAGGTAAGGGCTGGCACTGCTGGGAGTGGTTGATGGAGGGGCTTCTGGGCAGGGGGCATTGAGCACAGCTTGACTAGGAGAAGGGAACTCAGCTTCAGCTGGTAGGGATTAGGAACAGAGGCCTCCTCGTCAGTGCCAAGCACCGTCTCCTCCTTTTAGCCACCCTAGAGATGGGGCTCGTTATCCTCCTTGGCAGATGAGAGGCAGGAGGCTCAAAGAGGGTAAATAACTTGCCCAGATTTATACACAGCCAGTAAATGGTCAAGCCAGAATTTAAACCAGCTTTCCCAACTCCAATTCTAGTGCTCTTTGTAGCACACCACAGCTGCCCCAGGCTAGGGCAGAACATCAACAAATAAAAATGAATCATCTAGACTGAATACAAACAGGCAGAAGAAAAGTGGGACAGGGGGAGGATGTGATGGTGGCCAAACCCAGGGCTGAAATCCAGATATCCCCATGCATGGGAAGGCAAGGGAAGGCAAGGCAAAGCAAAAGATGTCTCGAGGGAGGGCC